GATATTTATAAGCATTTATTAGGTCCCCTCGCAGCGTTCTCTTCTTCAGGCTGAACAAGCCCAGCTCCCTCAGCCTCTCCTCATAGGGGAGATGTTCCAGTCCCCTCACCGTCCTTGTACCCCTCCGCTGGACTCTTTCCAGTAGCTCTTCATCTTTCTTGAACTGGGGAGCCCAGAACTGGACAGAGTACTACAGATGAGGCCTCTGGAGTATGGTACTGTCCTTTCTCAAAGACCATCTCCGATGTCTCTCCAGGCGGTATCTCTTGAGCCTTTGTGATTCTTTTGACCTCTCTTTGGCTACAAGCATCTGTATGTGGTGAAGCCTTGCCTCTCCTGCCCCAGTCTCTGCTACAGCGTCCCGTGGCTTCCTTGGACTCTCTGGGCTGCTCTGGCTCCCCTCCTCTGCTCTTATTGTGGCTTACTGAATAGACTTGCTCAGCAGAGTTTTCAGAAGTAAAACAAAACGAGGTAGTCATGGATGACCAATATCAGCTGTTGCTTTTAACTCAGTCATAAAGCATTGTTGGCTCGCTGATTTGGTTTCTACTGTCTATAAAAAGGTTTTGTGCAAGAAGTCCTGGTTTTCCCATCGCCCTGTGACACCAGTGCCAGGATGACCTTCTGCTGGAATCATTGCTCGGTTGTGTCGCTGCTCTGTACAAGTCTCCCTGGCAACCAGTTTGAGCTACAGTGAACCAAAAATATCTCACTGTGCTGGGGAAAGTCAGTTTGCAGACATTTATTTCTCATTAATGGCTTCTGGATGGTTCATGTGTTCAGCCTGCAGATGTCATTATTGGGAACCGATGGGTGGGAGATGTGGCGTGCCCCTTTTGCTTGCTTACACAGGGAGCATGGTCTACAAGAAGGCTGCCCTTGTGTGGTTGTCAACTGAGTTGTGGCTGTAAGACCCATCGTACTTGTTTTTCAGGGTACACCGAGGGTCTGGTCTACTGAGAATGGTTGGTGCAGGCTCACAAAGTCACAGTGCTCTGCTTGGACTCCTTGGATCTCTGCAAATTACCTTGGTTATTACCAGCACCTTTGCCCTTCTCATTTCTGTGTAAATATATGCACCTTGATTTATAGGTGTGCATGCTGTGAGCTCCAGTTTTGCTGCCATCCTAGTCACCAAAGATGGAGTCTGTGACACCTCCAAATGAGCTTGTACATAAATCTGTGGAGGTCAGGACTCACCAATTCGCACCAGAGAGAATGCAAAGACTGGAGGTCTTATTTCAAACCTTCCTAGTTCAGTTTTGGCTTGCAGATAATCTTTTCACTACCTAATGTAGAATAGTGGTGTGAAGAAAAGCATTGGTAATTCAAGATGTGTTCTCAGGGTGACGAAATTAGAAGAGACTAAATTGGAGAGCAGTATGTCATTTTTAGTAACAGGTTCCCTTTTCTGGATTTGTAGGGTGTGAGGATTGCGGCAAAAGCCTTATAGGAGAATGCAAACTCCACGGACCACTCATCAGGGCTAAAGATAGGGTTATTCCTAGCCGAGCCCGTCTCACCCTACCTCATTACCTCACTTTGCGAGTGTTGGAGCTGCGAGCTGGAAACCAGCAGAGTAAGTATTTTAGCTCTTTTTCCTACGTTTCAGAAAGAGGAGTCAAGACTACTAACACTGGCTTGTATTCACGATGAACTCGAGGCATGATCATTGGGTATTAACAGTATGAAGACTACTTTATTTTCAGCTGAGCAAAGCTAAAGCTCGCATTCAGCTACTGGTTTTTATGACTGATTTCTAGTAACCTCAACGCGTAGGCTGACAGCAGGACATTACCCAGAGCTGGTGTGACACTTAGCTGCGAGCAGCCACTTAGCTCTGTTCAGTCAATAGAAGTTTAATGAATGTTGAATTTGTATCTAATAATAACAACTATGCACTATTACATACTTTTTTCTTTTCCCCAAGCATGCAAAACAGGACAGAGTACTCAATAAGAGGTCAGAAACAAAATGGTAAATAACATCCCTCTCCTCATCCCCCCCCTGCAAACCCAGAACAACACAGAGGGTTAATTTACCTTTTGCAACATCTTCAGTTCATATTATAGAAAGACTGTTTTTTTCCTTCTGAGGGCAGGGCAGTTTGAATGCCCAAACTTAAACAAGGGAACTACATCCTTAGTGTTCAAATTTTCCACAGCTACCTGGGGAAAATTAGACCTGCCTAGGTTGCATTAAGAGAATGGCAAGATGCCTGTTGTGTCATGCTGTTGGTACTAGGCAGGGGAATAACTAGACTGATTAAGACAGCTAATGTGGTTTTTAGATGCTCTCCACTCATATTGGGAGAGAACAACCTCGTAAATTGTGCCAACAATCAGAGCACTGTGATAACATCAGCTTGTAAATTGAAGAGTATCAACACATCTGTGTTGCATACTCAGTTTAATGTCTTGTCATGGATTTCACGCACTTTTGTATTCAACGTAAGACCCTTTTTAAAAAATCTCTGTACATATTTACATCCTTTCCAGATTCTTCCTGTTAGAATTATTTACCTGGGTTATTTGTCTAGAGGAAGAATTCATGTGTTCTGCACTATTGTGTTTATTTCCATTTTCACAACTGTACGTATACAAGAAATAGTTTGTGATGTCTGTATTAATACTAGACTTGTCTTTTTATTCACAGTCCTTGGAGTATTTGCAAAGAAAGTAATACAGAAGAGAACACAGTTTGGTCCTTATGTTGGTCAACTGTCTACAAAACTGACCCGCTATGATGAGAGCAGGCTAGTTCTGCAGGTAAAAACCCAGTGACTTATTATGAAGTTCACATGTGTCTTTAGCACTTCATATGTATTTATGTATTTTAAGCAGTCAATTTGCCATCTGATCTAGTTAGTTAATTATACTTCGTAACCTGAAGTACCAAAATGTTCCTGTATGTTGTGTTTTGTAGAAGTTTGCTTTCCTGCTTTCTGGTTTTACCACTTCCAGGGTGATTTGTTTATCAGTCTAACAGCTCGATAACTTTTCACAGTGCACTGAGTTGGCAATAGTGGTATAAATACGCACTAAGGCACCTGCTTAGTAGAGGCCAGCAGTGCAGGGATAGGGAAACACTTCTTAATCGTGATTATGTATAAACTTTGACACATAGTGCACTAACTCAGTTTATTTAGTTGGATTGTTGCTGAGGGCTGGTACCGTCCTAGTACTAGATGATATGTGCAGGTACTGATGGTCTCATCTGGACCATGACACTATTGTTTTATCCCACACCAGTAGTGGCGTCTCAGGACTAGCCTAGCTTAGACATATCTGCATGCACATCCTTTCCCACAGGAATTTCTTGGGAGTGATAGGTGATCTTAATCCCCTGCACCCTGGTCTGTGCATTTTGCTGCATGGGGTTGTGCCTCGGCACACCTCTCTGTCATACAGCAAGTCCATGGTCAAACAGCAGCCTCTGTCAGGACTTCTGCATGGGTCATGGTTCTTCCAGACCCGTCATTTCGTGTCAGGCCCTCTCACCTCCCAGAAGAAAGGGACCAGCAGCAGCTGTCCTGTGACATGCTTTGTGTCTTCGTTTGAGCTTTCTCCAGAAGCTTGGGACTGGAAAACACCATCTGTTGTGGAGGAATGCATAGATACAGATACTTCTGTAATTTCATTGGAGAGCATAAGTAATAGCTTCAGTAGTTGCTGTAAACTTCATTTGTGCATGGAAATCATATGAATGGTCTCCCAGGAAAGTAACACTGTCCTGTGGGATTTTTCATGGCATGTTAACACTAGAGAGGGTTTGTTCTTCTCCATAACTAAAATTCTTCTGTCTTTTTATAAGACACTTTAATTCTTACAAATGCAGAAAACATACTTCTCTAACAAGCTTGCGAGCATGGATGAGCAAAGCACCCAGTTCCTTCCTCTTCACCAAGCCATTGTAAACCACACCTTATCCTCTGTCGGTCAGTCCCGTTTGCTTTAAAGTGTACAGTGATAAGCACAGCTATGTCTGATGAATGGACTGTTTCTTCAGAAGAGGAGACCAGAGTCCCAGGTTTCCTACATGACAGCAGTAGCTGCCTTGACTTCTCCCCAGCAGCATTCTGAATATGTGATCAAAGTTGTCCAACAGGCAAGTGCTTTCATCGGAAACAGGATGAAGTTAGATAAAGTAATTCCCAGAAGCAATGGAAATGCAACTTTTTTTGCAATTAATTGCTTGCTTATGTGGTTAGTAGAACAGATAAATGCTGTGCTGACATCTTTTGTGCAGCTTCAGCTGTCAATGTTTGAGAGTGTATTTTGCTGAAAAGCGACTGTCTTTTATGAGGTCGGGAGCGTTTGCCTTGTAGAGGCATTCTTTTGGAAAAGAATGTAAGAAGGATGAATTACAGCAACAAGAAAGAGATCTTTCTGGCATAATCGTTCATTTGTATTTACTTTTGTATTGTTAAGGGGAAAAAGAGAAGATTGTTAAAATGCCATTATATCATATGTTACCTCTCTGGACTTCTTACACAAGTTATGCAATGGTTCCATGCAAAATATAGCATTAATACAGCACTAAAGTTGGAGATTATCAAGTACTCAGGAAGTACATTAAGGCCTAAAGCTTATCTTTCTACTTGCCTGCACTTAGTGCTTATAATATTATCTTTATATAACATAAAAATGATGAAATGTAAGATGGAAATACATACAGAAGCCTACAGTCATTTGGGTAGCTGGGTGCCTTGGCAGGTTTTCGTTCTTCACTCTTTTGCACTCGATGTTCTTTAAGAGTGATCTGTTTCCAAACAACCACGATTTCAAAGGACGTATGACCAAGACAGGGTAAATAACTGATAGCCATGATTCCAAGTTAAAGAAAACTAATGTGCCTCTAGACAGGGCTTGGTTTTATCATGTTCTTTCTCCTGTACTCCCCCTTTGTTTCAGGTATTGAAAGATGGAGGGAAGTACTTTCTGGACACTCCCAATGAAGACTGTGGAAACTGGATGATGTTTGTCCGGCTAGCCCGGAATCAAGAAGAACAGACCCTTGTGGCTTATCAGCACTGTGGAGAAGTCTACTTCACAACTGTTAAGGTAGTTAAACCCATATTGCTTCACCCGTCATCCAAATGGAAACTTATAGGCAAAAGTTCTGAAAGGCTAACATTTTTACAGATGAAAGATTGATTATATATTGCCAACAGGATCTTTATTACATACCACCTTGTATATCACTTAGTTCATAGTAAAGCGAGCAGTGTGTGGGTTTTTTTCCAGTAAAAGGCAGTCTGTACTTGCTGTTATGGGTAGTGAAGAAATTGAGCAGAGAGAAGCAGAAATATCATTCATGATGGTGGTGTTTACAAGTGAATGTTATAAAGTTCTTCAGTTCCAGATAGGTACACGGTGAGATTATCTAGCATTGTTACATTCAACAGTACTTCATCCTGGAAAGAACAAACACTTTCCTTTCCTTTATTACAGTTTTGGATGCACGTGGTATTCTGAGCACATTACCAGGTGCTCAGGAACAGGGTGCTAAACAGAATCTGTACGTACTATTTTCCGCTCTCATTATATCTGAAGACTTAACTGCAGAACTTACAATACTGCAGTGTTGGCATGAAATGATCAGTGTATGTTAGAGATTCTGGACTGTGTCTTCATCTGAAGAGAGAGAACAAAATACTCTGTATTTACAAATGACACTGGTACACACAGTCTTTTTTTTGTTGTTTTGGCCACTTTCTCAGGCAAAATTTTTTTTAATCAGAACTTACTCTTTTGTACACTTAGGAAACTGAAGCCTATATGTTGAACCTCCATTGTTTTCCTTTTTTATTCTTAAGTTAATGCTTGTGTATCATTCTGAGCAACATTAAGAAAAAGAGAGAATATTAGTAAAAAGAAGTTATTGTGGGATTAGAACCCAGCATTTCAGTTTCATTGGCATGCATTTCTGTGGGATAGTAGTGTTTACTTTTGTTCCTCCATTTTTCTTTATCCACCTGCACAGGGAGAAAAATATTTACCACACAGTGATGAGGTGAGAAGTTAATAGTGATAACATTTTACAGCTTCAAAGTCTTTTGTAACAGTATGTAGCATAGTTGCTTTTGGATTAATATTAAAATAAATATTTTTAAAAAAGAAAATCAATGTAAACCATTATGTGCTAATCTGAGACATTGTTTAGGCTGTATTTGAGATTCTGATGCAGTCCATACCATTTAAGATCTCAATTTGATTTTAAATGCATGCTATGCTTGTAGAACTGACAGGATTAATAGTGCTATATTTGGGAAGCATGAATGAATGCTTTTTTCTAAGAAGTTGTAGTTATGAACTGGTAAGTTAAAATTTCCAGTATAATTTAAATAGTGTCAAACCAACTCTCTGCTGACTTCAGCAGAACTCTGCTCATTGGCATTAATAGAGAGTTGCATCCTATATACTGACATGAAGAGTATCGTAGGATGAGGAACGTGCCTTGGAACCTTTACTGTGCTGTGTATCATAGGGAATTACTTTGGTTTGGTTTCTCCTGAGTCCCAGTATCATTCACAGTAGCGTGGCATCCTGCAGATTTTGTCCTGATCAGCAAAAGTGATAGCCTTTTGCTACGCTTAGGCACACCCTGCTGGTCACAGCGTGAGGCTGCCTTAGGGCTGGTTATGAATATATTTTCTCAAGATATTTTGAATAAAATCTATTAAGTTTGGAGTAGAAGGATTGGCTCCTCTCCCCTGTTTTTACAAGAGATGGGATTTTGGTGGCATGAAACTGCAGCTACAAAAGCATACATGTAAGTGGCGTACTAACAACACCGTTCGTGTACTTGCAGACGTAATGACTGCAGTCCCTAGAAATAAGTATTTTTAATAAGTATAGAATTACGAGGAAGTGAAAATCATCCGTGGTTGCTGTCACAGGACAATCTCACATGCTGCCATAGCTTTCTCTTCTTGTCACAGGTGAGACAGAGTAAGTGACAACTTGTAGTGGATTTGGATATTGGTGTTTAATCTTGCCCTTGCTTGACTACTTCACACATTGATGCACTTGCTTTTCCTCCAAAGCCACAATGACTAGGTCTCAGCTCCCCGCAGAGGTCACCACTGGTCCAGGAATGTCGGACAGAAAATCATGACAGTGTCACGCTGTGCAGGTGTTTGTGGGTACCAGTCTCAGGTGTCATAGGCCAAGGTCCTGGGCATCCCTGGGCTCGATCTTCTCCATCTAAATAGACTATCTGCAGGTGCATAATGCATGATCGACCTCCTAGTTGGTGGCTCTACCTCATGTCCTTTGTTGAGTGGAGAATTCAGCACATACCGTTGCTGTTTAGGCCAGGTGTTATCAAAATGTACCAACCCCTACTGGCTGTAGTTAGCAAGCAAGCACGTGCTTGGGATTTCAGAAGTTCCATTTTTGACATTATACACACAACTACCTGTCACCTGTTAGCATTCACAATCTAAGTTGTCTTCCACCTACCATGTTTATCCAACAATGATGTTAAAAAATAAGAGCATTTTAAGATGTCACATTTTGTGGAATAAGACTCAGCTGCTCTCCTTCCAGGCTAGCTTGTTCTTTTTAGTGGCCCAAGTTTATCTGAGTTTAAATGAAACAAGTACAGCGCAGATTGGCTCTACCCCTGTTGCAGCAATGCTGGTTTTTATTATAGATTAAGAAAATTGTGTACAGGGCCAGAGAGTCATAGAAATCATGACCCCAAAGTTAATTTTCTCCTTTGCTTTTAAATAAGTAATGGTTCTTTAGGCAGTGAGTGTCATCACTCCTCTTTTTTTCTTTTTGCAGTATTATTGACTGAAAGTATTTGCCAGAGGAGATCATAGTCCAGTCCAAGGAAAGATCGGGGCAGGCATGACTGGGCAGGATACTGCAGGTTATGCGGTCCCTTAGACATGTGTGGGTAGGCTCCAGTGAAAGGAGGCCAGAGGTAGAATAAAGCCCATGCATAGTAGCCTGACACATTAGAGCCAGCATGTGGAAACATGCAAATTTGACTTGCAGTCCATATATTGATCAACTCTGCATCCACGCTCTGCAAGTGCAACATATCCAGGAGTCATCCAAGCTGTTGTGCATTCACGATGCGTTTTTTCCTTTGCCTGTACACTGTAGTTAGGTGTTGTGTCCAGTGGGCTTCGAAACATTGAGGAATAGACATGGGATATTGCTTGGAAAGACTGCTGGATGTCTGGACGTCACAGACAAATAGATCTCAGTGGGCAAAGGTCATGAGGGCTGAGGCACCCCTCCTGTTACTGTCCCCCCAAAATCTCTGAACATATGCATTTCTGCTTTTAGAAACTGTGAAGGTGTCAAAAGCTAGAGGACAGTAATGCTCAAAAAGTGCTTGAATCTTGAAACTAAGTTACCAATAATTTAAACAGATTCAAAGAATGCAACTTGGGTAACAACACAGATTGCACACACACAGCTCCTGCCAATCTTCAGTATTATTTGGTGTAAGAAAATTGGCACAAGTAAACATGTGCTATTTTCTTCCATTCACAGCCAATTGAACCCCACACAGAACTGAAAGTATGGTATGCTGCCGATTATGCCAAATTTATGGAAGCTTCTGCAGTCTTCATTAAAGAAGAGTCTGATGTCTGTCCTTTGCCTCCAGTAGCAGTAAGTACCCCTAATCTGCATTCAAGCCATCACCAGACATAGTCCATTACAATTTACATGCTTTCTCTGTTTATGTAACTCCAGTAGTGCTAGAGTAGACCATAGAATAGTAGGCTAATACAAAGCCAAGAGCAATTTTTACCACACAGCTACTTGGAGAAAGGCTCCTCTTCCTCTCCTGTGTTTGTAATCCAATGGAGCCATTAGATATAGCCAGAAGTAAGTGGCACCAGTGGGATGTGTTGGAACAACGTAAGATTGGCATTAATTTGTAGACAACCAAGCTGTCCAGCCTCAGACTTCTTTCACCAGCTCCCCCTTGTTTCTCTGACCGGTTGGTCAGATAATGCACTGATTATTTCAGTCTTTCCTGTGCAATAACCCTTCTCTTCTAATCCCAGTACCTTCCTCTCTGTGTGATAGTAGGAATCTTTAAACTGATTGGAAAAATTCATAAGTATTGCAATCATGTCCATGAAAATTGGTACCTACGCTAGGAGGAAATGTTGAACAGGGAATATGATAGAACCAGGAATTCGGAGGTGCTCCAGGAAGGGAAGTAATGCCATTGTAACATTTGCATGTGAGGGCTTTCGAGTATATGCCAGAAAGAAGGGGTGGGAGGGTCACAGCATCGGAGACAGAGACGGTAGACGAGGGCTCTGTCTGTAAATAAAGGCAGAGTGGACATAGCCTCACCATGTTCTCCAGAGCAAGCTAGCCCAAGAGCAAGGGAAAGTAAAGACAGTTTATGAGAAGCTTAAGTAAAATGTAGAGACAGCTAAGGAATTACATGGTCGTGTATTAATTGGAAGTACATTTTATCAGTGACTGGGTTTTTATTGTAATTGTTCTTCACTGGAATTTTTAAAATGTCAGTATTTAAAGTGAATTTAGCTGCATGCAGTAGAGTTCTTATTTCCACAGAAAGAATACTTACAAATAACGCATCGCTTGCCAAAAACCTTTTATGTTTTACTGCCTCTGAGTCGGGATAGACTCGAGATCCCCAAACCTAAGGTGTTTCTTATTGAGTTTAAGAAAGTCTAATGCCAAATGTCAAGCTAAGTGAGGAAGTCTCTCCTGGAGAAATCCATCTGGTAAAGCATGGGATCAGCCCTCAAGCACAAGGAAATCCTGTACAGCTAAATTACAGTTGTGTGCAGAAATCCACCCAATTTTTGTATGGCTGCAATAGCATGTAAATTATGTCAGTCTATGGATAAAGTACAATTTGCAACTGCTTTTAGGAATAATTCCATAAAAGGAACAAATGTAAAGACTTTGAAATTCAGTAAGCACAGATAAACAAAGGTGAAGGACTCGGGACTGTTACAGTAAATGCTAAACAAAAATGTGGAAATAGTTATTTAGCCAATTGTTATTTTTCCTGCTGGCTAGTAGACTCTGAGAGAAAATCCATTTCCAGCTGAATAGCTGTGTACATTGAGGTAAATATCGCTAAGGACAACAACAGGTCTTGGGGAAGCCCAGGAGAAGATGTAGGGTCAGTGAGAAGAATGTGACCTTTCCTTAGAACGGCTAATAAGAAAGACCTGTTTCTGTTCTCATTGCAGAAAGAGCCCATAGACCCTTGGATATGCTCCAGCTGTAGAAGCACTTTTGCAACTTTTGCTTTGCTAGAATCTCACCAGTGCATCCACAAAGACCGAGTCCTTACCACCAGGTTCAGACCGCCGAATAAACTGGGACCTGTAAAAGCAAAAAGCAAGCTCAAAGGGAAACTGAGAGGAGCGGCATTAGGCAAAAGCATTGCTCAGTGCTACGGGACCATTTCCTGTTCCTCTGCTGCAAAGCTGAGCTGTGCCGGCTCAGGAAGCAATTGTGATGCTCTTGTGAGGTTTATACCGAAATGGAGAAATGGCCGGTCTTCACTGCTGAAGGGAAGAGACGTGAAGCAGCCGGACAGTTACCCTTGCCGACTCTGCGGGAAGAAATTTGATTCCATTGACAAGCTCACAGTCCACACTTACGTGCACAAAGGGGAGCGCCCCTACAAGTGCTCACAGCACGGATGTGCAAAAGCCTTCATTTCCAAATATAAACTGCTCAGGTAGAGCTCTGAAGGCACTCCTTTTCTGGTGGATGGAGGGAGGGTGGAGGGCGGGAAACAAGGACATCTTTTTTCTCCTGAGTGTCCTAGTGACAGGTAATCCCTGAATTCCAGTTTTTATTTTTCCTGTTTTGGTAGAATTGGAGAAAACTAATCTCCCTCAATTGTGGTCGCTACTCAAAAAGATTGTGTTGAGCAATTTAGCCTACTCTATGCTTTATCATTAACACCTTTCCCCCCAAAAAAGTTAGGCTTTTACTAATAATCTGAGAATTTGTGAAAATGCCTTCACAAGAGTGCCACTGTTTTCATGTCTTGAAACTGCACTATGTACTAGAGTGAATGTAAATGCAAACAACTTTTTTCTTTTTTCTTTTTTTTTCATCTTAGGCACTCAGCTACTCATTCTCCACAGAAATCTCACCAGTGTGGCTACTGTGAAAAGACCTTTCACAGGAAAGACCATCTAAAGAATCACCTTCAGACTCATGACCCTAACAAGATGGCCTTCAAGTGTGAAGAGTGTGGCAAGAAGTACAACACCAAGCTAGGCTATAAGAGACACTTGGCTCTCCATGCAGCCACCAGTGGGGACCTTACCTGTAGGGTATGTGCGCAGGAATTTGGAGGTACTGAAGTTTTGTTGGAACATCTCAAAAGCCATGCAGGGAAACCAACTGGCAATGCTAAGGAAAAGAAACATAAGTGTGACCACTGTGAGCGTCACTTCTATACCCGTAAAGACGTGCGGCGTCACATGGTAGTTCACACAGGCTGCAAAGACTTTCTGTGCCAGTTTTGTGCCCAGAGGTTTGGGCGGAAGGACCACTTGACTCGCCATACTAGGAAGACTCATCCACAAGAACTGCTGAAGAGCAGGTTGCAGAACGGTGACTCAGTGGGTCTTCTTGAGCAGCTTTTTCCAGTCAGACTGAAGGAAGATGCCAGCGTACTTTCTCCTTTTCCTGAAAGGGTCTCTGTGCAGAATGGGATTTTGAATAGTTCAGAATCAGGGGAATATACCTGTTCACATCTTCATTCCCAGCCAAGCATACAGACTGCTCTTCCTCTCGAACCTTCTCCTCATTTGCAAAGGATGGGCTGTGCAGACAGCCTTCCAGCTGTCCATCCCACACCATGCTCAACAGCTGTTCCTGCCAACCTGAACCTTCATCAGCCTAATAAATATGACCTTAGTTCTACCTCATTTGCAGCAGGATCCCTCAAGAATCTACCGATAAAAGTGGATGTTAAAGGTTACAACGTGCATCTTCCTGAGGACCTGCTGTTACCAGAACCTCAATCTCTCCACAAAATCAGTCTGGAAGAAGCTTCCTCAGGGCCTGTGGGGGATACTAACAAGTACCCAGTGCACAAGGAGACAGAGGCAGCAGCTGAAACTGCGAGCTTGCCTTTCATGGATCTCACTCATGTGATGAGTTTCTGGCAGCTCCCACCATGTGACAACCAGAACACTACTGGGGACATCCCAATGGCATTTGGTCCAGAGGAGCCATCACACAGGCTGAATGGCCTCGGCCAACAGCAAGGTCTTCAGCTAGCAACTGGTGGAATGGCCATAAACCAGCTGCATCATCTTCCTCGCTCCTTTCCATCCACTACAAATTCTGTAACGTTGCCTCATTTTCACCATGCCTTCAAATAACTATCACTGTGGGGTTTTTTTTCTTCCTTCTTTTTTTAAGACTGTGCTTCTTACTTAAGTCTGTTAGGATGGGGTGTGTTTGGTTTGGTTTTTAAGGAAAAACTGCCCCAAATGTTTTCAAAGCACATTATGAACATGGTAGTTAAGTTCAGAATGTTAATAAACAAGAAGCTCTATTTTTCATACTACTATTAGTTTTTTAGCATATGGCGATAGTAGGACTAACATATTTTCCTCAACACCCTCTATATTTTTGTTACTTACGTTTCACACAAACAACTAAGTATCTTTGATTATAGCAAAGCATCATAACAGGCACAATAAAACTATGGCTGCTGCGGTAGGAGAAATAGGGTTAGGGTGAATGGGAAGAAGGGGGAAATCACAGAAAAATAATTTTAGTGAGCCATAAATCACAGCAAATTGATACACATGGCAAACATAACAAACGATTTATCAACATCACGTAGATTTCTGTTAAGCACTTAATTACCAAACTTTATGAATCTTTAATTTAAATCAGAATCATTCCAAGAGTAAATCTTACCTCCTTGTTTCACTTTTTTTAGATGAAGATCACTGTTGTGATTACATTTAACTAGATTCTGTCTTCTGAAGCTCCATTCAGCTGTGTGCATCTCCTGCATTTTTTCTTAGGGCTGGAAATGGCTACCACTTCTGCATGACTCTGTAAGAATGTCTTGCATGTGTGCAGTTTTCAGAATGGGAAGTGAATTGTCTCAAAAGTTAGATCAAAACATTAATTTTCACTTAGAGCTGGATCTGGCAAGGTATCAGACAGTGATGTCTCTCTCTCTAGTAAAGCACTTAAGCATTTGCTTAAATTTAAGCATATATTATCCCATTGGGTCAACAGCTTGATTGATTTAGCACTCAATAAAAAATAATGCTTCCTACCTGAGGGGCCGTTATTCACCTTTTGTTGATAAAAATGGCCTTTGTTTATTCTGGGAAATGGTTATTAATCATAGCTATCTGAAATACGGATTCTTTCACAGAAAGCCAATCCTGGCCCAGGGGAGCCTGCGACAGAGCAGGACCTCTGTGGGATCAGGGGCAGGTCCATGCACAGAAGGGTTGTGGTGGTGAGCTGACACTGGGCCCTGTTCAAAACCAGGTTATGAACCCACCTCACAAGTGTTGCCTGACACTAGTGGGCGTGATGATGGTCGAGGCCATTTTAATCACAGGGGTTTTGCCAGGTAGCATTGGGACAGCTACAGCTGGACTTCCAGCCTTTATTTCCTCTAAACCAGAACCACAGGGACTTTTGTTTTTTTTCCTGGGGTAAATTGTCCATGGACATTTCCAGCTGATGGTGCTTTGGTGTGACAGTTCTATCACCTGATGCATGAACTAGCAGAAATTGCAAAAAATCATATCTCCTAGTAGATGACACTATTAAAAAAAACCCAAAAAACCCCCACCAACTCTTCACAATTTACTTTCTTGCCTAACCCATAGCTACAAAAAAATTGCTGGTTTTAGTGGGTGATGCAGTTACTAATGGATTCTGTTGCAGCTAAAACAGACACACGATTTCTTAATCTGAGTAAGTTTTCAAGCCCTGAGAGCTACTCTTCCATTAAATCCAAAGAGAGTTAATAGTGCCTAACGATCATTACAAATATAGCATGAAGCAAACGTGTTCTTTTCTCCCCCATTAATCACAGGAATAGTTCCAGACACCTTAAAATAAAAAATAGTTTTTAAATAATTGCTGTTTTGCTGTTACTGAACTACATTGATGTTGTACAACTACAATGATCTGAATATTCTTACAGCTTTATCAGTACTTTGATTAAGGAAAGGTTCTATTATTGCAGCTCATGCAAGAATATGTTCTTCAGATACACTGTTGAGGGTTTTTTTGTTACAAAAATTTTTGGCACAAGACAAACCAGAAGGAATTTTAATATCATTCTCGTAATGACAACAGCAGGAAGAAGAGCAGGTGCTGCACAGTCATACCCAGTTAGCAGTTATTTAAATTACAAGTTCCAGAACAGGGAAAAGGTTGCAAACAATGTTACATTGCACATTCTACAGCTAGGCTCGTATTTTCATCCGGACTTGGAAAGATGTGTGTATATTCACTTACTGCATTATTGTTCATGCAAAGTGTATTCACTTGGCTTCATCCCAGCTTATGTACTTGTAAAAAAATACCCCAAAACCAACAGAAAAAACCACCACACCACAAATTTTGTAGCACTCCCTGACCATATACTGTTAATAGACATTTTGTCATTTTAGTCTGTGGTTCTGTAAGAGGTGTAACTAATTACTGAAATACTTGTCTTTGAATTAAAACATGATGTTAAGAAGACAACATTGTGCAAACGCTGAGCTAGGCTGGCGCCCACGTTCTTTGAGCTGCTCGGCGGTGGCAGGGTGCCCGAGCTCTGAGCTCCGAGAGCTGCTGCTGCCTGACCTCAGCCTCTTCTGAAACGTGGAAGGATGCATCGGTGAGAGATGATTAGCGTGTATAGCTACAGGTTAAAGACCAAGTCTCATTCAAGTAAAAAGAAAATAACCACTTTTGATATTAAAACGCTTAGCAAGCACATGATGATGGTGTCTACAAGTAAAACTCAGAACCAAGTCTTAAATGTGTAAGCTTTAACCCTTCAGTCCATTCAAATTGCCTTTTCCAGATTCTTGGTATCATAAACGTAGAGGAAGCTGATGATATCCCATCAAAAAGGAAGGCAAGTTATTTCAAAATGTTATGTTTGCAGAAAATTGTCTTGTTTTAAAATTCTCACAACTTGGGCTATAGCCCCAAGTCTTTCAATACTTACAGTAGGGCTGGACTTTTTGACAGCTTTTGTTAGGGGGACTTCTGAACATTTCTGAGAGACCACCAGTATGGCTGAGGCTCATGAACGCTTTGTTTCCGGGCAAATAAATTCTTTGAGCTCGGTAGACCTGCCTGGTGTGGGCCAGAACATTGCGTTTCATAAAGAGTGATCGTTTGGCTTTGGTGGGGTTCAGATGACAGGCAAGGCAGTGCCGAAGGAGAGGTGTGGAGACAGCAGCGCATCCTCACCAGCTCTCCCAGGGCTTCCCTGCGGTGTCCGAGCAGATGGGGCCGTAACGGGCGGCCAGGCAAGACTCCAGGCGGTGATGGTAACGGTGACGGCGGGGAAGACAGCGGGAGCTGCAGGACCTCTGCCCAGTGGCACTGCCTTCTGCTCATGGCAGGGGGGAGAGCAGGCAGCCCCACCAGTGCCCTGTCCTCCTCCAGATGGGTGAGGAAGGTGCAAGCGCAGTGAGGTGGCGTGGGGAAGGTAGGACAGGCCGTGGCTGAGAGGCAGAACAGAAAGATCCAACCCCGTTCAAGCACTGACCCTCCTGGAGATCTTGGGATATTTTACCTCGCATCGCAGTAGAGATAGGAATACTGGATTTTGCCGACACTGCTTGGAAAGCTGTAGAAGCAGAGCGATACATGCTAACTAAACAACCAAATTACTATAATCGAGTGATACCATAAAACAGGAACTTAATAAACATTTGGTCTCATAGAAAAGATGTACTTATTAAAAAAAAAAAGCGATGGTACACCTGCTGAAATAAGGAGATAAATTATACTACATGGAACAAAAGACCACATCCTCTATGTAAACACAACTATCTCTAATGCTTATTCCCCATCCCCTATAAGAAACGATGTTAATATCTTATTTCTTTGGTTTTGTTTACCAACCATTTCTGTTGGGATGCTCCATTTTCTTAACCAATGAGTTGCTGTTAATTCCTGAGAGTTTTCCCCAGCCAGTCTGAAATAGGATGGTAAGTTCCATATGTTAATGATTTATTCATTTTTCTGCCGGCAGAATTTTAAAGTACTTTTCTTCAATACGCTGTTCCTGTCCCTATAATTAGATTTTTTGTAAGACACGGGGAAATGATCTGTGAAATCAGTACCAAACGGCTCTACACACAGGTAGAAAATAATGGTGAGGGGGAAGAAAACGCCGTAAAACTTGCTCTAACTTTTAAGTTTTGCGTTTATTTGGTTGTAAAAGAAAGAAATTGTGATAACATTGCACAGGATAGTCTGGTGTGGGCTTTTTTCCCCCTCTTCTTCCTGGGTTGAAAAAAAGGCTAAGCAGCGCTGCTTTAATATGTTTGGGCTAATTTCATGCCCGTTGTTTCTGAGACAGGCTAGCTGTAGGAATTACGCTTGTTTCAGTGTCGTCCTTTCTGTATGTACCTAGTCACTATTAGCTACAGCCTGCATAGAGTTTAAATTCTGTAAACCCTGGTATTTATTATTGCTGTGTCCAACTACTTTTCGTCGTTGTTTACTCTCTAAACTTTTAATTGGCAAGAACATTCCTTACAGATTTTAATTGAAAGCCTTAGTGGGAACTGTTGGGCTAAAAAAGCCCCCAGCCCAACATACTGCGACATTGAAAGTTTATGCAAGGTGTTAATAAATCAGGTGGCCAAAACATAAGAAGGGGATAGGCCTCCACAACATCTCTGTCTTGACCATCAGTTTCTAAAAGCAATTGAAGTTTTTAACAGAAGAATGAGATTTGGTTTTAGCTAGTCTGAACTTGGAGTGCTTTGAAGCTGATACACAGCTTACACAGCTGTTTATCACTTATCAGTCACTACCATTTATCATTTATTGCTTACTGGAAGATTGTATTAAATATATACACAAAATTCCAAAATGTTTATTTCTCTTGTTCAATAAATCAAAGCAAAGCATTAGGGGAGGAAAAAAGTATGATACTGGATCTTCCTACGTGTTCTTGAAACCATTGAATGAACCACTGGTAACAGCCATCTCCTTTTAGGCAATCAGTTAATTGAATTTTGGCAACCAATGTACAAATAACCTCACAACTGTAAAAAGGACAGCATAATATACTTTTTAGGCTGGGGGGGGGGAAAAGGAGGGGGAAAAAGTGAGTTTCAGTTTGCTTATTTTATTGAATGTGGTAGCTGCACCACTGGAGTGGAAGAGGTGCTGGAAAATTACGTTGCTTAAGGTCTTCCATAATGCTTCAGAAGAAAACTTTTAACACATCCTTACGGACCAGCCACTTTATCTTCTGTTGCGCGTTTGCGGTCTGAAAGCAGCAACAAGCCATATATTTGTCATTTGCATAGAAACAGCTTTTATATTTACTCCGTTTTACCTAAGAAGATTAAACCTGGATCCCCAAGTAGGTGATGCAGCAGCTCATCTTGGAAACTATTTCCAGGCACTTTAAGGATGAGAACATTTAGGTGCACCACTCAAAGCCAGTTTCTCATGTCCGCGTTCCGAGCTGAAAAGCGCTCTTGCTTCTCACTGAAACTGGTCTCTCAGTAGAGCCCAAAGTGTTCCGTAAAACACCTGGCAAAGCTGAAGTGTTACAAAAAATGCAGCAGCAGCTGCCAGCAGCCCAGCATCTACAAGCTCACCCAGGCCAGTTGCTTCCAGAGTTCCCAGGGCCATGCAGGACTCTCTCTCCTGTGCTGGCATGGATGTCTGTCCTGGGGACCTGTTGGAGACACTGCCTGTCCCAAGCCCTGTAAACTGGCTGTGGCTACAACCCCAGCAATACCTGCAAGCCCACAGCTTCAGAGTTCAGCAGCTAAGCCTTGAGAATGGTGATGATATCAATAAATGCATGTTGGTGGTCTGCAAGACTCTGCGTGATAACCATGAGTCACAGGTAATTTGGGGAATGGAGAACACCAGGAGAGACCACTGGGTACTGTCAGCAGATTTTCCTGTAGTCAAGGCGGTAGATAGAGTTGGTGATCACCTGGGGGCTGAACACTCCCTTGCCTGTTGCAGAATTCCCCACAGTTGAAGGTTCTTAGCCACTGAACAGTAGCAATCAAGGACAGCAAAACTCCACAGTGGAGGACCCTACAAAGACTTTAGATGTGAATCCACATAACAGACTGTTTTGTGCATGTTACTGTTCATCCCATGCTCCGAGCACACCTACAAGCTCGTCTCCCAGGCTTGAAATATCTTGCCAGCTACAGGGAATCCATCCTGACCCCATGCCCTGCCAGGATCTCATATTCTGCAGTTGTGTGCATCTCACAGGGGTGAAAGATGCTGATCATCTGAGCCATCCCCTTGCACAACAGGACCACAGCCACCCTAAGCAGGGGCTGGAAGGCCTCTTTGCTGCTCTGACATGGCTCTGCACAGCCCAAGGTGGGAACAACACTGACTGCATGGTCTGAAGAGCAGAAGCATCATGGTCTGGGAAAGTAAACACTGAGGAGAAGGAAGAACCTCCACACCACCATCTTGACATAGTGATTATTGAAATGGATGCTGGCATCTTCCTCACTCAGATGACAGAAGCACATCGTGAGAGCGCAAGACCTGCTAGAGAGGTTTGCATTATCAAGCAGCAAATCCTCTCAAGGTGCCCGTTACAGCAGAACACAGTCGCTGCCTACTTGAGATGGAGCTGCTCCAAACCAAAGAACGTTTAACACCAGAATGAACATTCTCAGCAGCCTGTACTGGGGACATGAGGAGCTCTGCAGAAGTTTTCGGTGCAATTGGTTGCATTGCTACCATTAATACAAAGTTCAAACTGCAAACACTGCAACAGGATATTGTATATACACAAAAACAAACAAGGTCCTTTTTTAAGTTATATATGGTCCTTTTATTTTATAATGTTGAAATAAAAAGAAGATTTCTTACCCAAACTCTCCTGAAGATTCTTTTCCAGTAGATAAACCCAAAGATTTTCTGGTTTTCTGCGGTATTCCTGGGGAGGTCTCTGCAGATCATTATTTTAGAAATTTATTGGCCAGAAAAAATTATAACCTATATAAATTCAATATAAAACCCAGAAATGTAGGGATCAAAGATGTTGATACAAAGAGCAGTATGTATTATTATTCACAGGTTATACTACAACTAACCATTAAAATAACTTTATAAAACATCTTCTAAACATAGACTGAGTATGGGTCGTGATTACCGGTCACAATGTGTGCCAGCAAACATGTTATATGATACCCTGCTTAGAGGGAACAGTTTTAGGGGATGTGATGGTGTTCATTTCAAGGCTGAATCGACAGGGGGAAAGTCATATGGAACAAACAACACACAAAGCTTGATACTTCATCTAAATGGACTTAAGAAAAGGTAAAGAAGACGGAATAAATCTTAACATTGAAGATTAAAGGTTATGGAGTGCTTTATGGGACAGAAGGAACCTCACACCCACAGTGCATATTTTAGGTCTATATAGAGGCGTCTGTTTGAGGACCTCTAATTGAAAAGGCTAAGAAGCCTCTCCTGAGAACCCACATGAAAACCTCTGTGTATACACTCGGCACAACGGATCAGGATAATGGCTTGGAAAGTCATTCAACATCAACAACATTCACTTGGAAATTTTTGACCCTTCTTGTTTCTAACAAGCTTTGTATGGAAAGGACTTCAGGATTTCATGTCGAGGCCTGGACTTGCAAGAAGAATAACTTTAAAAAATTCACACTTTATGATTCTATCAGAAAACTGGATTCCAAAGCCTAGGATCTGCTTTAAAAAGGACGGCCCCCCCACCTCAAATACATCAGAGTTTGTTATATGAAAAACATAAATATGGCTACATGAACTCCTTACCCGGCCTAGGTTTGTCTGTACTGGCACCTTCTTGTACTCTCTTCTGAAGCGATAACACAGCAGTTGTTAAGGTTGGGGGTTTTCTCTGAGTCACTGGTTGCTTGCCCTGGTGAAAGAAAATGCACAACTCACACAGCTCTAGCAAGGAGCTTACAGAGCCCAGTGACAACTCTCCAAATCGCTGCTTAAGCAGTACTAGGAAGGAACAGGAAGAAGGTGCACCCCCATCACACTTGAAAGCGATTTTTTCTGCGCAAATAGGCAAAAGAGTAATAAGATTTTCAAACATCTTTAAAAAAAAAAAAAAGAAAAGAAAATGAGTACTCTCCTAAGGGAACTGTTTACATTATTTTTTTTTTCTATAATAAGATAGGAGCTCACTTCAAGACACTGCCAATTAGCTCCACTTTTCTGATTCCCCAAAGGGGCTTAGCCCTTTGGCCTTGTGTCTAGTGACCCGGGAGTAAATCAGCTGTACGTTCGCAGGGAACAGCAAACCTGCCAACAGCAGGGAGCCCTAATGAACAGGGAGAGCTTTCTCTTTCTGCTTCCCTACAGCTGTTACCCTGGAATCCAATTGCAGAAGAATCTGAAGAAACTGTTGTCCAACTTTTTCATACTATCATATTCTGTCACGTTTTATATCAGGCAAAGGGCTCCAGTTCCAGAGAACTCCTAGCTGACGTTCAGCATATATCTAGTCTTAAGCATTTATCAGCTTCCCTGGAGTCTTAAGTTTTATACTGATATAAGTCTTTACTCACCATAAAGTACAGTTTGGCACACCTGCCTCCAGGACAATCCAAGCGTGGCTGTGTTTGCTTACCAAAGCCTGTCTGGTGGTCTTTGCAGCAAAGGCACGGTGGGCAGCTTGTTCTTCACAAAACTTCATGTGCCTCTCCGCTGCGGCCTCATTAAACCTTCATGAGCCGTGTGGACACCGAATGTAGTCTGATAGTGAGAAAGGAACAACTGGTGTCACAGTTTATACACTACAGGAGAAGAATTGCTCTCCTTTACTGGAACATCATGACGTAATTCAAAGCCTGGCTCCATCAGCAGGGGACCATGAGCTCCCAAAGCACAAACTTAGGAGAACTGCAAAAACTGCCTCTCGAAAAGTACTTGGGGTCCCAAAATACATGCTTACAGTACTAACAGAGCAAACAGTAATTGCCTTCAGAAATAAATCCCTGGAGATCAATAAAAGCAAATTTTATTATCTTTGTCCTATTCCCACCCCCAACCTCACAATTAACGTATCTGCAGGAAAAGCAATATTTAGAAATTCCTCAAGCAGTCTAAACCAAAGATTTTAAGACTACTTTTGAAGACTGGTATTAAGATTGTTAGTTGTTTCTGAAAAATCCATTTCCTTTGAACGCTGACAAAATAGTGCTTAAGAAGTTGTGACCCGCCAGCTGGGGCATATCCAGGAGCCAGGTTTCTGAGTGTGGGGCAGCGTTGTGAAGAACACAGAACAGAGCTTCCTAAAGTCATTTTTGACGGTGTTATAGCCCTGATTCTGCTAAAAGCTGTTCAGGTACGTTTATCACTCGTGCAGTCCTACTTGTTTCAATGAACGGTTGGTGCTTGGTATCACCGCAGTCACATTCAGCCCTTGCACTGCCCTAGCTGTCCTCAGACCCTTCCTCCCCACCCTAGGCCTTTTACGAAAGCAGCTCAAGCATCCTTATCCTGATATTACAGCTTTAGCATCTTTACAAATCATTCCCCCCAGTAACAGCCCAGAAAAAGTGGCCCAAGCAGTCACCAAAAGCCAGCCCCAGACCAGCAGCACGGGCAAAACGGTTCCAAAGACAGGAGCGGAGGATGAGACAGGGCAGGCACCTGGCTTGGGGGGGCTGGCAGGGGGACCTGGCCCTTTGGGAGGGACGGGGAGCTTTGGGCTCTGTATGAGGGAGGAGGAGAGGGAAGGGGATTATCTCTCTCCTCCCCACAATCCATGTGCTTTCTCCCCAGTCCTGTAGTAGAGAATATACAGTCCTGTAGTACAGGATGTACATCCTCACTAGGTCCCTCAGCAATCTGTCTTTCCTAAAAAGCTGTTCTCCGGTTCCTGTCTCCACAACTACAGCAGCTCCCGTACAGCTTGGTTTCCTCCAAGAGGGAGAAGGAAAGGGAGGGTTCTGCAATTCGAGTCAGTGGAATCAGACAAGAAATAACAGAGTCATTAAAGAACTCAGCAGTGGAAATCCAGAGAGGAGCTTGACCCCAATCAAGGAAGGAAGATGTGTCCTGCTGCTTATATTGCATCGCTGTCACCTAGAAGAGGAGAAAGGCTGGAATCACGACAGCTGGTTTTGCTATCAGTCACGAATTCCTGCCCTGGAAGCGAGCCCAGAGAGCCACCCCATCCCCCTCCACCTTCCTCATACAGCCAGGACTCCACCGAGACCCTTTCCGAGATTGCTCTCGCGTTTCATAAATCACGTACCGTGAGAAATACTGGCTGTACGTGCATCTTTTTGTATCCGTAACTTCCGACACTGAGCTCTGCGCAGACACTGCACCTGGTATTAGCAGTAAGCCAGACCTGTCTTCTAACCGACTTCCCCTAACTACACTGGGGAAGGGGACAGTGGAAAAGCCACCACACAGGAGTGGGGAAGCCTGCATGCATTGCAGTTGTTTTAAATGGTGAGGGGATGTATTTCACCCTCTGTTTTACTGCGGTGCAGCCTGTGCTAGAACACAGGCACCCCAACTCTCCTCCCAAAGCACTGTCTAATATCACACCCCAAACTGGCTGCCTTTACACTTAAAAGGCACAGTAAGTTTTCTCTTCCTTCCCACCACCTCTGCATTGCACTCCTACTCAATTTAAGCCAAGAAATACAGCTGAAAATTAAAGACTACGGAGGGAATTAATGTTCACGTTGTGCTGTGCCAGGGGTGCAAGACTGAAGCCCAGCTGTAGATAATAAGAGGTCACTGCTTTACCAAAGATCAGTACAAGATCAGCAAGAAGATAAAGTAGACCACAAACCTGGACTGATGCTTGGTGGGGGAGGAGGTGGAAGAGGGCGACCCTCCTTAAGAGCTTTTGTGACCTGCTTGGCTGATTGAATAGCATTAATAAGATCCTCATGGTGCTGCCTCCAGTTAGATTTCTTCCCTGGCTGATTCTGTGATGGAAATGAAGGAAGACACAAACTATATTCCCCCCTTGCAAGGGACAGAGAAAAATCTTAGAGTGTGGGCTCTTCCCTTCTGAGGGAAAGGAAAAATGTTACAAACAAAACAAATTTGCTTTTTTTGAAAGGCATAGGAAAGCTGATTTAGCCCTTTGTCATCTATTGACAGCACCAGAAGTTGGATAAAAGAACAATGCCCTCCAACAAAACACTCTGGAGGTGGCAGACCAAAGGGTGCTTAAGAAGGAATAGAAAAGGTATTATGACCAACAGCCTCCCTTCTCCTCCACTTGTCAGATTCATCTTCTTGCTTTAACCCTTTGCGTGCTTCTCTTTCTTTCCACGACTGATTTTAAAGAACATTTTATAACAGCAGCCTGCATGGATACCAAATCAGCAGTGATTTGGCATCTCTGGCGAAAATTATACACATGCACATCCATGTGTATTCCCCTCCTCCCCAACAATGCATGGGAAAAAAACTTGTTCCAGTAGGAGCCTAAGCTCTTCCCCTCTAGCTCTGTAAAGAAGTTCAATTTAAATACATTTTTGAACCCTTGCATTCAATAGCAGTGAATCTCCGTAGCTTCATCCGTGGAAGATTTGGGACTTCTGACAGCTCTCGGGTTCAGCCTGGAGCATTCATGCACCAACCGTCTGGGATCACGCTCTCTTTCAGGTTTAAGTGAAGAGGAAGCTGTCAGAGACTTGCAAAGCCTTTAAAATACATACAAGAACATTGCCATGAGAAGCAGAGGCACTTACGTGCCCAGAGTAGTCATGACACCTACTGGTTCGGCTTCTGAACGGAGAAATACTCTCGAACACCAACAGCACAGGAAGGGGGAGGAAAGAATTTGGCGCTGAGTCAAGCAAGTATGCGAGACTCATCCACAGCATCCAGGCTTTGTCCCTGGAGGAAGCAACAGCGTGACTGAATGAAAGACTTTGCACGGAGATAACACACACGCTTCATTTTAACCACACCTTTCGCGGGGGCTGCTTCTTCACTGTGGCCGTTTCTGTTCCCTGCAGTCTCTGTTTCAAAGAGTTGAAGGGCTTGCGCTTCTTGTTGAAGACTTGCTTGCAGATCGGATCATGTCTCAGCTAGGATACAAAGAAAAACAGTTTTTTATGGGTTAAAGCCATGCTTTGTTAACGATACTTCCGTACTCAGGCTTTCAAGTTACTTCTGTTCAGGAGCAGGGAGCTGAAGCAGTATTTATTTCAGGTTCAGTTTAACTCCTGAAGGAGTTCAGCAAAACTTTAAAAAGCTGTCCAAGTACAGCTGCAGTTCACACAAATAAGAAATAGAAGCCATTTCCCATTCGTTGTGCTCAGGGACGTGCTGGAGGCCAGCACAAATAACGACTGGCAGAGAATAACAGAGCGGGCCTGCGAACAGCAACAGTCCCGCCGGACACCCCCTGCCCCCCCCGCCTTGGCTTGCTTGCTTTCTCGGTTTAGAGGGAGAACAGACTAATCCTGTTGAAGGGGCCAATACTCCCATCGTTAGCTCTTTGAGTTTAGGTAGGCATTCAAGACCGGGGTCTCCCCTGACAACCAGCAGCCCTGCCCATCCCACCAGTGTCCCAGGCTGAAAGGGAGCAGCTGCTTCCCTGCATGCCCAACGTGACAGCTGGGGAGGGAGACCAGGGGTAGCACCTGCGGCTGAAGGTACAGGGAAGCTCTAGGTTTGGTAGGCATCCAGCAGGGAATTTGTGGAAGAGCCACACCTTGCAACAAAGGAGGTTTTAAGATTCGGAAGTGTCTCAGGTTTTAGCATTGACTTTACTCTTCTGCAACAGGATGGCCAGTCCCCTTTGTGAGGAACACCGTGAGAGCCAGCACCAAGCTACGTCCTCACTCTTGTGCTGTGGACCACACCTATTTGAACCCATCCACAGCTGGCAAATTAAAGACTCCATTCCTCTCTTTTCTTACTCCCCCTTTCCTGTTCTCAGTTATTCTGCTTGATCTTCTCATTAGTTTCTCTGTGCCATCCACTCTTTTCCTAGACGAGTTAGGCAGCTGCCTGAGCAAGGCATTTTGGTTACTGCTGAGCTGGGCCAAGCAGCACCTCATTCTACCGCAACACATATTCCTACATCCTCATTTTCCTTTGAACCTTTCTACTCACATGCTTCAGGCCCCTATCTTCTGTATCCAGACGTTTTTGACAACAAACTTGAGAGGAGGATTCCTCTGTAGGGCCAAGAGGGCAGCAGATACCTGTGCCTTGCTCACCGAGGAGCACGCCAGCCCTTCACCACTGGGGCACAGACAGGCATGACAGGACTCATCTCACGCTAGTCACGGTGACGAGAAAATTCCCACCTGCCCTAAAGCATAAATAACTATTTCCAAACGATTTTGCTAGATTAAACAGTCAAGTTCTTCACGTATCTGATCTATCAAATGTAGAACTACTAACATGGGGTAGTTCCACCTGCACCTCAGCGCTCACAGTTAATCATCTTCCAGCGTGTTTTTCTTGTATTTTTTTTGCTAAATCAGTTATTAGTTCTATCATGGGGCTGGTCTGATTTAGCACAGGGCCACGGGATGAGTAACGCAAAGCGAGGAGGGGAGGGGTGGCTGCAGAACCCCCCGCTTGCAGGGAAACCCCGCAGTCGGGCTGTGCCAGGCAAAGGGCTCAGCCATCCATTCAGTTTGTAATCGGGGGATCGGGGAGGGCAGGGGGAATCTTTTCATTCACTTCAGCAGGCCTTCGAACGGAGCCTGCTGCCCATGTTATGCTGGCATAGGGACTGCTTATCAGGTGGTTCATTAGGCTATTTTTCCCAGGAAGCCTGAAATAACAAGTTCTGCCTAGAAACCTGGAACACAAAGGAAGCTTCAAGTTAGTAAGTTTTTGTCTCACCAAGAGATAATTATTTTAAATGTGATATATAGTGAACATCTGGCTTTGGATGGGCAGGTAAAGTAAGATAGTGCAAGACTGCAGATTAAGTAAGTCACAATATTTCTATGAACATGAATTCTCTAATCAAGTTCACTAATGAAAGCAGTTATTAGATCATTTGCTCTTTTAAACATGTGTTCAACCCATTTCTCTGCAAGCAGCCACCTTCTTCCCCAGTGCTCACCACCCCTTTCAGCTCAATGCATTGACATTCCCACTAAAAAAACATAAAAAGTTTTGTTTTACCAGAATATCTTGTGCAAAGCGTCTTCTGCAGGTCGTACAAGGAGCCAGCTCGTGACTTCGGGCAGCTGTGTAAAATCCAAAGGACGGAAAAGCCTCAGTTACACAGTACAGGACAGCTCGACTGCAGCAGAGCCAGCGTTTGGACGGAGCCCTCGCTGAATCGGCGTTTCTCTGTCAGAGAGGGAGGCCCACGATCATGTGCCAGGGCTCCCCTTTTGCAGAACGACCTTGTTTATCTTGTCCCTACAAAGCACAAGCTCCCCTTTACTGCGACGGGCAGCTTTCTGTTTTCCACATGACTGCTCAGGTCGGTCCTTCCACAGCGACATCACGGCTGGGCAAGGAGATGATGGGAGAGCACTTGAAGTTGCTGCAGCCAAAATTCAGCGAGGGGGGCTGGAAAGCCTGGCACCCAGCTCTATTCTGTTCCGCCTGCAGGCCAGCAGGAGCTGGCGATGCCCAGTAAGGGCGCAGGCTGAGCCGCCGCCATGCCGGAAAGCAGCAGGTGGCACGCCACGCGCGACCCAATCCTCGCTCTGAAGACAGAACGTTTCCGTGACGTGCTAAACGGCATTCCAAGATGATCTCACTTCGTAGATGTCACATTTGTGGGGACTGTTGTTTTTAATCAGTAATTTTTTTGACAAAATAGGTTTTTAAGTTACATGGAAAGTAGTTTGAAGCCTTTCTGACTCCAATGCCAGTCACATACTGTCATTTGAGAGCAGGGACATTACTTGTATTGAACAAAAACAGCTTTTAGGAAAACCTGAGCAGTAACAAAGAGCCCTTTTCATGAGACTTATAACCTACAGAGGGAAAGGCTTCTCATTGCAGCACTCCTTACCCGCCCCTGCTGAAACAAAAGAAGCCCTTGCCTTGCTGAGCTGAAGCAGATGTGTGGCTGCTTTTGCTTCTTCCCTTTTCCTCCAGATTTTACTGTACTCCAAGGCACAGAGTTACAGTCACTACAGAGTTTTGTTGATGACAGGTTCGGAGAACAAAACAATTCTCTCATTTTTTTGATTCTTGTTGCCTCTGTTTAAATGTCTTTCCACTTCTGTTCAAATATCTTTCCACTTCTGTTCTGAAGCAACATCTTTCCGCGTGTCTGTGCTTAATCTGGACTATACTTCCTTTCACACGTCTCCCTCTGCCTCCCCCATCTCTTTCACTCTGTTCTCATCCCCTCAAGGTTTTGACTGATCCAGCTTAATTTTTTTTTCTTAAAGGAGTTTAGGTACAAGCAGTGTTGCTGACTCAGCAATGAGAAGTCAGGAAAAAGGACGATTTGCCACAGATGAGTTACTTCAGACATGCACAACAGCAGATGAGTTAAGGACTAGTAAAGGACACGTGCGCTGCCTTTAGTAAGAGATTTCTCTTCTCAGTACATCACCAAATCACACTGCACCCAAACCGCTGCACAGCATCTGTTACTTGCTCCATTTAGCTCCTTTCCTGGTATCTGACTCGTCTCCATACAACGGTTTCTCAGGCTTCCTCTTCTGCCTTGTCAGGAGCCACACATACCAGGTGGTCAGTCTTCATTGCTCCAAAGCTCACACTTCAGGTTACCATGCATCAGCAATTACATAATTATGACACAGGCAGACCCTGCTTAAGCCTGTGAAACACATGAAAACTAGTACAGCTGTCAGCTAAATGAAAACCCTGAAACTTGTTCTAATCTTATAGATTATTTCTGCCAATTTGGTTAACACAGGCTCTTGGACAAATTTAGAAAATGAAGGCTTAATCTAGATGCAAACACTGCATTGACACTGCAGGTTTCTGAGCAGTGATCAAAGACTTGTAGACTTAAATGAGTGTTTATTCCCTTCTCCCAAAATCACGGTGCTTTGTCAAGTACTTGGAATTGTTTCTGTGCATTACAAGGCCTCACAGTCCTTCTGTTAGCTTGTCTCCATCTAGTATTCACAAAACTAAGGAATATTTAAGATGCTTTGAATTTAGTTGAAGTCAAGCGCTCTACTAATGTGCTGGTTACTGTGTTCCTTACCAGTAAAATGGTTACCTTTTCACTCAAAGGCACAGATCTGCATCTCTGCTCATCTTCAGAAAGGCTTTGCAACAATTGCACTGGGTCATAAGTTTGTATTTCAATGAAACCAAACTGAATGCAAGACCTGAAGAATATTATTCCAGGAAAATTAAGACAACAGCTATTTGCAACACAGTATTTTTCTAAGCATCTGCTGTTTTGTTTGCCATAGGACTCCGACTGAGAACTTTCAGCAAAGCTGATTTCATCAGCAACAGTAAGGGTCATTGACTTCTGCAACCGCAACACTTGTTGCAACAGATTTTATTTGCCAAGAAATGTGAAACTCGGGTTAGGCAACAGGGATGTCTAGGTACACAACAGCTTTTCAGACACCTCTGTTTACAAAAGGTTATTTTACATCTTTCATAACAGTACCCAAACAATAAATAACCAGCCCAGAAAAGAACTAAGGAGTGGGTGAAGACTCCTTGACTTACACAACCATGCTGTACCAAGGCACTATGTTTAACCATCAGCATGAGAGAAGACATAAATGGATATATTGCTTTGTAAACTGAAACAATTTAATAGAATAATCTGATCAGATCAAATCTGTAGGATTCTGCTGATTTGCTGAAAACATGCAACAAATATATATATAAAACTTTGTACAGTGATAGCTTATAAGAAAAATATTTTTTAATAATTTTAAAACATTTCTACTGTAATTAAATTTTGCAACAGCTGCCATGTCACTCAGGATAGAATAGACATCACTTGTACATTATTTTATGTATAACTTTGTTTCAGAAAGAACAACAAGTTATTGGTTCTTGTCTGAATAACCCCCTTTGATCATGGCTGGCAAAGCTATGAGTTAGCTGTTCCCTTCTCAATACAACTGAAAAATTACGGTTGCTTCTACAAGAAGTTCCTCGGTTTCATCAAGACAGCTTCAGTCCTTGAACGTTTTGTTTCAGATTGAGCAACTCTTTTTCTTGCCTTGTTTTCTCCAGTTTGAAGGCTAGCTTGTTGGCTTTCTTCTCCATTCTGCGTTCCTGTGCATAGGAATAATTGCAAATTTACAATATATGCATAACATGCAAAAATAAACCATTCTAATTAACAGTTCTAGATCACGAAAACAGCAGCAATCCAGACAATACTATTATTTATGGCATTAATTATTATTAGTCAAATTAATATGTGTACCACCTGGATTATCATCTTTAATTAGCTGAAGCTTCTAATATGCTGGCAATTTCTGTTCCTGAATAAAACAACTAGTATATCATTGTGGCCAATTAGATTTTCCACATTTCTTCCAGACACTTTTCACTTTGTGTGATCTGAAACATCATAACTGTTGTCTTTGCTTCCCTAGGTAATAAGGAAATACGAGGGCTCCTTCCAAAGTTATGTATGTGACAGGGGCTGCAATAACAGACAAAAATTTCCATATAGGAAATTAGGATGACAGAATTATGAGTTAACTTTCTTTCCAGTAATTTTTTTCAGAGCAGCCATAATTAGTCCTTTGAGACTAGCATGTTTTTCCCATTAACTTCCAGACACAAGAACAAATGAGCTTTAAAAAAAGTCTGAAAGACAGAATTCAGATAATAGAACAAGTTTTTACAGGGTTTTATTTAAAACAAGGCATACCTTTCGTTCCTCTTTTATTGCCTGTTTTCTAGCTTTGCGATCCTCTTTGCTCTCGTCTTTGGAACGGGGCTGTGTTGACACTCTTGGCAGGTCACTGCCATTAATCATTTGCATGCGTTCAATCTGCTTAGCAGTGAGACCTTTCTGAGGCAAGACATGTAGGGGAATTCCGGTCTTCTGCGAAACTTTTATTGGTTTGGGCTAAAACAGAAAGCACGTATCTATTAATGGGCCCTAGCTTTCTCTCCAAGAAGTGCACATCGCACTGCCTTGTCAGTATAAAAACATCAGATTCAGATTTAACAGTAACAAACATATGATTTTCCTCATACTATTTTCTTCTCTCAGAAAAATGCACATTAATCCCGAAGTAGGAAATGAAACACACCTGTGAGCAGAATCTGGCCTCCCAGAACAAGTTTCTCCCCTTTACTTAAATATTACTGAAAATAAAAAGAACTTAAGTAGGCACTTAACATTCCTTTATAAGCTTTCAGGAAAAAGGTTTCCTTTCAAAACCTCACACATCTGGAACATCAAGCAGTGCTCTAATGATGGGGAACGTCTGGAAGGCCAAAGAACTAGAATAAATTGTTTCAAACTGTAGAAGGGAAATACAAGCCTAATATGCGGCTGTGAGACAGACTGCACAAAGGTGTATCGCAGATAACAAGACAGTAAGTTCCTCACTCTCTACATTTCTGCCTAGCCATTACCCAAATTTTGAACTTACTCAATTTTCCTCCTGATAGAAAACAAATATATCCAAACCCTTCTTCAGCAAAGAAGTAATAACAGAGGCTAACACCCTCCCCAACCCTCTTTTCTGCTCCCTCCTCCTTTTAAAAACAGATACCCATTGAGAAAACAATCACTTTTGTCTTAAATTTTCCCAGGCCAGGTTGTTACTCAGAATAAGTTTAATGATTTTACCTTTGATGGCTCCTTAATGAGTGTTGGGTGATTATATAAATTTGAATATGTACCTAGGTCACAAAGAAAAAAAAAAAA